CTCCTTCTCTCATTCTTTTAGTTTCTTAACACACCCTTAAAAAGGTATACTCCCACAAACTTTTCTTTACTGTCTCTGTCCAATCAGTACATTCCCAAGCTCACCATTTGCTTACCTTGTCAAGCCTTCTAGGAGGACAGTAAGCATCCATATATACATCCAGATAAAAAAAACCCTAGGAATTTTACAGTTACTTCTTTGTGTGCGTGTATTTTTGTGGTGGTGTATAATGACGACAGTGAGACCTGTCAGTGCAGCATCACACCAGGATGTGTGATGCTGAGAAGGTAGGATATTGGGAGGGTATTTTATTGTTTGTCCCACTGCTTTTATAATTCTTACGGAAAACCTGATGTGTCTGCACAATTTTGAAATGCCACAAATCAAAATATACTTCAGAATGATGTCTTTGATGTACGGTTTGACGGTTGGTTCAGGTCTAGAAAATGCCAGGCCTATATTTGAAGTTGTTTAAAAACCCAACAATTTGAAATCATGTTACTAGCTATGTTGACTCTATGGAAAAATGTCTAATATCTAGAAAGTTTTTATGAAGATTTCAAGCATCATAATGAACTTGTGTGTGTGCTTTTTTGGAATATCTGAGATGCATTTCAAACATTTGGTGCTCATCCAAGAGGAATGTTGTGCAGGCCTAGTTTTAGCTGAAGGAAAAATATTACTTTCTAAGAAGTCTGAATACTGATACCAGATAAACAGGCAAAAGCTAATTTTTGACTGCCAACTCCTCTCTTTTATACAGACCATACATTTCATTGGAAATGAATGATTATAGGTAAGCTTAGAGTTTTTTTCCATTAATACACAAAATACCAGATGTCACAAGTTTTCTCTACTAGATCTACTAGATCTCAAAATACAAGCTATCTCATTTGCAAATGAGGCCACGCAAGTAAAATAAATCTAAAGATTTTAGTAATGTAGGACAAATGACCACTTTTTGTTAAACTTTGAAATTATCAGATGGAAAAATATTGCCATAGGTATACTTCCATATTGCAGCTTAAAATAACTTTAGATTTTAAGCCCCCAACCTCATAAAGAGTAGAAATAAGCAAATACAGGAAAAATTTGTATGTTGGAATGAATGTCCTGTTCTTATCTGTTGGCTTGTGTAAAGTATTGCAAGTTAAGTGTCACTTGGCAGGTTTATTTTGTTTCTGTTACTGAAAAATGTACTTGGAATATTCATTGCAGGTCATTACATGAAGATGTTTTAAAAAAGGTAAAACACTAGTGGAATTATTCTGTTGTCATATGTGTCAAAACTCTTTGCTTGAGTTACTGGACTTTTTTTTTTTTTTTTTTTTTTTTTAAAAAACCAGTCTTTCTTTAAAAAAAGTTTTTTTTTTTTTTTTTTTTTTTTAAATAACCAGTCCTGGTTTAAAAAAAGTGTGTGTGTATGGGGGGGGGGGATGGGGACCAAAACAAACAACCCCCCCCAAACAAACAAACAAATAAAGCAACAAAAAAACCACAAACCCACCACACACCAGTTTATGCATAGACAGTTTTCCTAATTCTATTTTTGTGATGGCGGTGTTCTTCCTCTATGAGTAATATCACATGTTCACGCCTCCAAAAAAGCTTTTACTACCTGACTTTATGTCAAAATAAAATGTGTAGTCCTGATGTGTAATTATACCTTAACTTTTGGGGTTTTGCATCCTTTTGTCTATTGATGAATCTCCTGCTTCTATGAGGAAAATAGCCAATCTGTTTTTCAGAGAACAGATAGTGACTTCTCAGCTGTCAATCACTTGCCATTCTACCTGATTAGTGCTGTCTAATTGGAACCTTTTTGTCACTATTGCTGATAAAAAGAGTAAATTAGGAGATGGAAAAGGTGGAAATGATGTATCTACCAGCACTTGTCAAGAAACCAGAAGAGGATATAATATTGTTTTCTCAGGGTGCTTTGTCAGGCTACTGTTTGAACACGGTGACTTGAAATGCCATTCCAGGGGAATGTGGTGTGGGACTAAGTATTCCAGCTGCAGAATGTGAGTCTTCAACAAAGGTTTCGTGACATGAAGTAGAGGTGTGAGCAAACAGTCTAGGTACTGCGTGTCCCGGCTGTATGGGTTGTGCATATACTGAGTCTGAGCAAGCCCATCCTGGAAGTTCATGGAGACCTGGTGTCCTCCTGAGCCATGCTGAGCCCTGCAGCGAGCACTCAGGGATATGCATGAGAGCAGGAGGGGCAGGGCCACATGCGGAGTGTGAATGCTGAGATGCAGGCAATGATTTGAGTTGTGTCTGAGAGGGAAAAGGCAAAGGCAAGTAGAGACTTGGGAAAGACACGGTTATTTCTAAGAATTTCCCAGGGTTGATGCTATGTCCTGCAGGAGGCTCGGTATTGCCAGCACGTCCCTGAGAAAGGGAGGAAATTAAGATGAGCGATTAGGTGGGGAAAGGAGCCCGTGCTCTGTTAGAAATCGGATGTTTCTACAGGCTGCTGCTTTGTCATGGCTTTTCATATGTGGGAGTTTCTCTCTCTTTCCTCCCTTCACTTGGTTCCTTCCAGCTCCGTATGGGATTTTCAGCCAGTTCAGCCTCTCTTATCTGATGTCTTTTGTCCATATTTGCTCACTGAGGGGGCCAGAGGTAATGAAAATGCCTAGCTTCTGTGTTTAGGTTGAAGATGGGAATAAATGGTGGGTGGCAGAGCCCAGATGCCAGACAGATGTTTGTTTCCAGCTGAGCACAGTGAGGAGGATGATCATGTTATCTGTTTCTTTCTCCTTGCTTTTCCATTCCCCAGAATATTTCCCAGGAACCCTGAGCAGGGCTTGGCTAAGCAGTTTATGTATTAACAGCGTTTGTCCTGCGGGAAGGGTTTTGGACATGACTGGGAAGTTTACATCAAATGGGCCTACAGAGAGTGGAAACTTTACTCTGCAGTAAGCAATTAGCCTGTGTCAATGGTTTCCAAGCTCTTTTACAGACATGATCTGGTAGGCTGCTTCCCTTCCCTATCCTCAAATGGTTAGGCCAGCTCCCCTCCGGTTAGTTGTACAACATCTGCTGGCCCAGCCCCAGCAATTATGGGCAGGGAAGAAAGTTGTGCTGGACTGTGTGCTGGTGAATTTGACATTTCTTCGAAGGGAATTCGCCAACGAGAGTAAATAAGATCAGGACAGCTTCTGCCAGCTGTCAGTGGACAGCCATCTGTTGAATCCCAATATTGACCAGCGCGTCCATGTCTCTGCTGGGCCTACGTTAGGCTGGACTATGGCTTTATATTGATTTCAATTGAGCTGTACTGATTTATAGCAGCAGAGGCTTCTCTGCGTTTATGGCTGTGCCTTTCTGCTTACAGAGCTTTTGTATTTTGGGGCTTAAGTGTTCTGTAATAAATCCTGAGGTGGGGTTGGGGAGGTCTGAAAGCAGCCAGGCGGTTGTGGTTTTCCTGCCTGGCGGTGAAAAAAGGGCACAGCTGTACTGCAGAGAGCCCTCAAGTCTTTATCTTCCACAGGATATATCTGTCCTATACTGTGCTTATAGAGTAATTCCTCTGTAGCCTGTAGGAAACACTACTGCTGCTCCATGCTCTTGTGGGGGATGAATGGTCCAGGAGCTGGTTTAAACTCTGGTGATCAGGAATTTTCCTTGTTTCATGAGCTATCTATGGCATTGCCAGGTACTGCCTGGTAATATTGCTCCTTTCAGGCACAAAAGTTTAGAGAGGATAAACTTCAATTACTGATCAGGAGGCAGACCACCCTTGGGTCTGTAACGTTTGTATAAGGCAGCTACATACCTACATGTCCCTGCAACAGGACCCCATGAACTTCGGTGCCCTGTGCTCATACTGCATGTGCCCTAAACAAAGCCATGGAGCCTGCACCACAGAGCTCTCGCTTTACTGTCTGATTGTAAAGGAAAGGCTTTTTAAGCCTTATAAAATAAGCCTGTTGTCTACAGACACAATTCTGACTATAACATTTATTCCAGTTCAGAAATAAAACTTGCAAAAATCAAGACTAGATAATTAAATGAAGAAGGCCCATTTCAAATGGGTTCTGTCAAAAAGACAGAAGGAAACACAATCAGCCTTTCAGAAGAAACTTTGTTACGTCTATGCTAGCAGCTCTTTAAACCAAATTCACAAGTGAGCAAACACTGAAAACAGAAGACTAACTTGTCTTTGTATAGGAACTGCAAGACTGAACAGAGACTGTGATCTCCTAGATGTTCTTTTTAGGATTTTTCAGGAAGCTCAAACTACATTTCTAGGGGGATTTCTCTGCGCGTGTGTATTCATGTATGTTTTGGCAAAGTATTTATTCCATGATCGTGTCTTACAGTTTGCCAAAGACTTCCTAAATTGCGACTGGCCACATTACTTGCAGTGTAACAGGAATGTGGAATAGGCACAGCACGGTCAAAACAAGAAGTAGGTGTGGATCCTGAATGTGCTTCAGTGCAGTCTTTTCTTTTCACAGTAATCTTTCCTGTTAGACTAACCACTGAATGGACAAGTTTGAAACGATCTTTAACATATCCTTACAATTGTCACAGAACTCAG